CTTTGAATATTGATGTTCTCTTACCTAATGTTAACAGTAATTTAAATTGTGAGTTTAGTTATCAAAATTTCGCAGCAGGGAACTACGCTTTGCTTTACAACATTCTATCAACTTATGATTGGTCTAGCGTGTATGAAACCTCTTCTGTTGACGTAGCAGTCGCCAGCCTCAGTGTTGCTGTCAGAAGTGCCATGGAGCAGGCAGTTCCTTGTGGGTATCGCTGCAAGTCTGAATTCCCTCACTGGTTCTCCTATTCCTTAAATGCAAGCTAAATGTAGTCATATTCTTTTCTATCGTCTTAATATAAACAGCTGTAATCGGTTTACATGCCAATTTCTCGCTTCAAAGCATGGCATTTTAGCTGTTATAGATTTTGAGTGCGTGTTGTCATTTATGCAGGCAAGCTTGTGTAAAATCATTATCATGGGAAAGAACTATGGATAGGACCTTAAATAATATCCAATACAGGGCTCTGTTGTTAGAACTAAAATAATTTTACGGTAATTTACTTGTTCATAGTTGGAATACTACTGGAGCGTTGAATTTGAGACTTCTTTCATAACACGCAGCAAATTATCGCGTGATAGATGTCCGTAAGTAACGTTTTCCTGCATAAGTAAGTCACTTTCAGGATATGACCAAAATCAACGTAGCATGAAAGCTGGCAGAGCAAGATAATGCAAAAGAACTACGACTGCAGTTCATGCAGGAATGATTAGGCTTTCTTTAGCAACACCACAAATTGGCGCACCTAGGATATCAGCTCAGATAAAAAATAAAAATGAATGAGTCAAAAATGTATCCCTCCAGAAACCGAGCAAGAACTGGTTAACTACATTCTCCTATTGGTTTTAAGAGGGTCTGGTCTATAGGTATGTAAGTCCGAGACATTAACCTACGCCTCTACGTCGGGCTTCGCCTTGTCCAGTATTGCGAATATTTTCGTTATGATGGTTATGTATGACTTCCGTTTGTTGCCTGCATAATTTTGTTACATAATCATATATGTATGGAATTTTGCAAGCTTTGTGTAAATCGCGATCAATGAACTTTCATTGTTCAGATTCATTACCAGGTAACGTCTAGTTAATACGCAGCAACCAAAACAATCAGCTATCTGTTGTGTTACTATGAAATAGGTTATATATCGAAACTGCAGAAACGAGCTTTTCGCACACGTAAAACAAATAGTGAACAGTAAGGAAGTATTTCTGTGCACAGTTTTATTAACCCATATACTTACATCCACGTACTTCTGTAAAGAAAAGATTATTATCAACAAGTCTTTGTCTGAGTTACCATCTCTCAGGCGTAATGCACAAGTAGAGTGACCAAGGGACAAATTCCACGGCCAACTGCAACCTGAATCCTGGCCATAAGAACAACGTGTGTACAGAGCGATAATCAGAAATGTATACCACTCAGTGCAGCAGGAATTGGTGAGAGAAGATATTGAAGGAAGGGCGCACAAAATTAGAAACCTACGGAACATCTGACACAGGGTCACTGGTTACTTCTTGTCACTCTTCTTCTTAGATATGGAACCAGCAGCCAAGAACCGCGAAATACACCACATAGAATACTGTAACATGTGTATCCATTGCTAGGCTACGGGTCGCTAAACACATAACCGCTACAACGAATATTTCTATTGCTAGCAAAGACGCAGTAAAAATGTATTCGCAATAATAAAGAAAGCAGTGTTTTCTATGAGGTCCGTGCTGCATCTATATAGGGGAACCAGTTTGAAGGAACAGTGCAGAACAGCTGAGAGGAAAGGAGACACCACTTGGGTAATCACCCTGACGTTGTTGCCGAGGTTTGTATGTCTGGAATTCAATTTTTCCTCTTTTAGTATGTCTATCATTTATTTGTGATATTCCACTTTTTTTCGCTGTTGTTCATTTTCAAAGTGTAGTTTAATCTGTTAACTACCTGTTCAGTTGTACGAGTAGTTGTTACTCGCTGCATGTTTGTGATTCCTGCGACAAACATCGGTGGTGGTGTTGGTAGTGCTGGATCCTTTCTTTCGTGTTTAGTATTGCCCTCGATTTCTGCGTGTCGCGGAGCTTCAAACTTATTAATGACCGTTATCTGAGATGGGCGATTGTTTGTTTCTTGCAGCTTACTCTTCTTCGTTGTTGGCATTTTTGTGGTTCTGGGGCGTGTTCATTTCTTACCTCACCTCTGACTTCTTGCCAGGATAGCCGGTCGTCATTGTCATCGCTGTCTGTGCTTTTCTGTTTCTGAAAAGTCTGCTGTTTGGGTTGGTGCTCTGCTTGTTGTTGCTGCTTTGGATGTGTGGATAGTGTAATTGTGTTGAGGCAGTTTGGTTATTTGAGGCATACGTGATGTAGGTTGCTGTGGTACCAGCTAACCGTATGAAGCTTGCTGCCGTGTCTGATGTACGAGGGGGTACCCAAAAGAAACCGAACTTATTTTTTTTAAACTTATTTATTCAAATTTTAAGCACAAACCTTCAATCCCCTTCAAAGTACCCTCCACTTACACTAATACACTTGTCTAGACTTTTATTCTATTTTTCAAAACATTGTCTAAATTCATCTTTTGATATGCTTGACAGCGCCTCCGTCGTTTTTTCCTTTCATGTCTCTTTTCATTCGAGGAAACAAAAAAAAGTCGCACGGGGCAAGGTTCGGTGAGTACGGAGGGTGAGGAACAGGGGTAATACCATTTTTGGTCAAGAATTGTCGTACAGACAGGGCTGTGTGAGCAGGGGCATTGTCATGATGGAAATACCAGT